TTTATCATTGTCACCTAAGTTACAAGAAATTATGATTCGACATATCATCTTCGTGATTAACTCTTTTATGTATATAATTTTGTCCTTTATATCTAGAATAGGCACAAGTCTTTGAATAGTCACACGTGTATAGCCCATCTATTGTTTCTTGATATCTAAAGTAGACTATAATTAACGAATAATTTGTGATATCTCATATCATCTTATTCGAGCATGACCATGCATTTCTAGTCTCACTCAATCAAGTGGCCTATGATATATTTCCTATTATGTAGGAAGGATAAATCATATCTTACTCATACACACTCCACTACATATATCGAGATATATTCAATAACAGTCTTTATAATGCAACCAATTACGGAGCATGTTTAACTATATCAAAACATAAAATAATATATGCTGGGATAATATTGATCTCAAGTCTGAGGATCATACATATAATCATCACCATGAGCAATGTTATGACTGTTACTTAATAATCCAAGACATATGCTCATGGTGGGTCAATCCAATACATTGTTCTCTAACAATATAATGATGTATCAATTATGACATCTCTATGTCAATGACAACTCGTTGTCATCAATCAATAACATGTTAGTCTTAAGCATATTATTATTGTCCATGCCCATAATAATACTTGACTATGAATCTTTTTAATAATAATAATAATGTTATTATATGGACTTTATTATCGTTCAGTTTATGTTAAACACATACATATAACTAAAAATAATAGTGGCAATGTCTTTATTCAATAAAATCAATAAATAAATGTATTATTATAATCATCATATGATTGATCTTTGGGCATACTCTAACCCTGACCTTAACCTGAAAATATATATCTTATACCTACCTTGCCCCACCTAATGAATTTTAGGATTTTTCCCGCCCCAATTTTTAAACTAAAATCTCGATCCGACCCAACCTGAATATATTAATATTTTAAAATAAATAAAACAATATATTTATAATTATTTATCATATTTTAAATAGTTAAATAATATGTTTTATAATTATTTCTTATTTTTAATAATTAAATAATATATTTTAATGGTATAAAAATAAAAAAAATTATAATATATACATATATATTAACCTGGTCAAGACGAGTCAGTATTTTTTACTTTAAACCCAGCCATGTCATGCCCAAAAGTTAGATAATATGTAACATACCCCGCCTAGAGCCTCAAAATTTAAAAAAAATGATCCATATAGGGTCGGGTTAGGAAAGAACCCATTGGGTTTGAGTATTTTGACCATCCTTAAACTTGGGCCTTTTTCATCAGGTATAAATCAGTCAACCGTTAAGCTAAGCTAGTCATTTAGTTAAATTTCATCACATTTTGTATTTAACTTATATAACGGTATCAACACAAAATCAGTATTTTTCTATGATTATAAGATTAAAATATGAGACACTTTAAAATAATGACAGAAAGCTTAGTCACTCAACTATAATACAGATCTGTTTTATTATATCGAGCTCAATATTTACTTATAAGATTATTAAATTAAAAGACTAGTTTTCACTTAATATAAAAACAAAAACAATTAAACAATTTACATATATTCATAAAATTTGTATAAAATTATGATAAAAAGTATATTTATAATATTAAAAAAATTATCTAATTTTTAAAATCATATTATTTATTTATTTTAAATAATATTAATTATTTATTTGAAATAGTATTATTTTTAAATTGTTTATTTAATTTCGAATAATATTATACGAAATCAAAATCATAGTTGGATACTAAACATGTAATTTATCCTAAATTTTAAATTATTTAAAATAAATAATTAAAAACAATATCATTTCAAATAAATAGTTAATATAATTTTAAAAATTAAATAAATACCTTTGTAATATTATAAATGTATTTTTTATAATGATTTTATATAAATTTTATAAAAATAGAAATTGTTTAATTATTTTTTTACTTTTAATAAAATGAAAAATAATCTTTTAATTTAATAATGATATAAGTAACTATTAAGTTCAGTATAATGAAAAAAGTACTCACACTATAGCTGAGTTGCTAAGCTTTTTGATAATTAATTTAAAGTCTCATTTTTTAATAATATTATAATCATAAAAATATTGATTTTGTGGTGATATTGTTATATAGGTTAAATATAAAATGTGATAAATTTTACCTAAATAACTACCTTACTTAATGGTTGAGTGATTTGTATCTCATGTAAGAGACTTAAATTTAATCTATACTTGGACCAAAAATGATTTTTATCTTTTTATCCCCGTAGGTGGTGATGTGGAATAAAATTAATTAAAACATACCGACGAATAAAGAAAAAAGTGACGTGTTATTTAAAAATAAATAAAAATTAACATGTCATACCACATAAGCTTTACTATTAATGGTTTTAAAAACAATTAAAGTTTAGATACTAAAATAAACGAGTAATTTAACCTTTTTTTATAATTAATTAATAAAGATATTTTTTTTAAATTAATAACTGATATACAATCTATTAACTAACTAATCAAGATCGGGTACTGCAGAGGCGATGATGACTCTCCCAATCCAATTTTCTTCATTCGCAAATGTTAGGGTTCGAACCCCTATCATTGCTTAAGGGACCTAGTGCCTCATTCCACTAGACCAACTGGTTGTCGGTTAATAAAGATAATTTAATTAGTGGTATGGTATGTTTCGTACTGTCTGAACTGTCCTTAAGCTTTTTTAGGGCTATGGCGGGGAGTGATCCAACTTAATCCTGGAAAAGATTGAGTTTTAAAATAAAGAATAAATATATAGATTTGGAGTTGCCATCGATTTTTGTGTCAGGTAGGTCGAATGCCTAAAAATACCTTATAAAAAATGATATGCATTTAACTAGAAATTCGTTTTGAAAAATGGTTCGGGAGTCAATTACGCGTGAGGAAGGATTAGCACCCCACAATGCTCGAAATCGGTACCTAAGTGATTATACGTCACCTAAATATTGAAATTGGCAAATTAGAATATACATTTAAATTATGATATTTTTTAGAAAAAAATATAAGGGGTATTATTTTGAACGAACAATTCTCGAAAATACCTTCCTTGTAAATTAAGGGGGCATTTCCATGGATTTTCCATACAAAATAATATTACCCTAATTTCTAGATAATATATATATATATTAAATATATTAAAAAACAAATTCAATCGAATATAAAAAGTATTATTTTGTTCGAACGATTCTTGGAAATACACTCTTTGTTAGTTAAGGCGTATTTCCATAAATTCTTCGTGTAAAATAAAATATTACAACTAGCAAGAAATTAACAAATATGTAAATGATGGATTAAAATAATAAATATGGTGATCATAGGGATCAAACTATAGAACCAATGAAAGGTATGAGGATTAAAACATATTTGAGCCAATTTGAAATGAGGATTAAATCAATACATGACAAAAGAGTAAGGACTAATCATGCTAAAAACCACACCATCCATAACAGTTTCTAAAATAAGCAAGGATTAAAATGAAAAATTCAAAAATAACACGTCAAATGTTCAAACATGCATAAACTTGAAATAATTAGACTTGAGGACCAGAATACAACAAGCGTAAAATTTGAAGACAAAATCATAATGTTCAATTAACACAAAATAGGGCTAAAATAAAATATGTAGAAAATAAAGAGCTCGAAATAAAAAAATGAAAAGTTGTATTTATTAACTAAATTGAAAAGGTTACAAACATTGGGTGGCCTTCTGCGTGATTAACCCCTGCGTGAAATCAGAATACCTATGCCTCAAAACTATGTCGTTTTTAGAAGGCTATATAACTCTTTATTTTACCCTTTTTTCTTTTTTAGGTAGACAGAGAATCTCTCCCATCTCTCTACAAGTGTCAGTGCGTCTTCGATGAATGGCTCCGCCGTAGGCCATACCCTGGAAACTTTTTGAGCCCCTATTATACCGGTGGCTTCGTCTCGACGAGGGGAGTCTGGATTTGAGGTTCAAACTATGGAGTGGCATTGAAAAACGCAAAATAACTTAAAACCCTTCTACTTTCTGGACTTCGATTTGTCGTCATTCGTCGTTAGATGGAGCCCAAACGGAAGTATGCTACTCCCTTCACCAATACACACCTTTTCACTTATTGGATCTGCGAATGACCCTTCGAACATCGGCGAGTGACTAGGTCGAAGGTAAATCCATTTCTTTCATTTTTTTTCGATTTTCTCTGTTTTTTCTTCTTTCAAGCCTTTTTTTTCCCAAATAACCCCTTCATTTTTCTCTCTAAAAACTTGAATCCTCATTTTTTTATATGTTGGATTTCTCTCTAAAAAACCTGAAAATCCCCCTTGTCTTTGGTTGATTGCATGCTATATATAAAAAAAGTTTTGTGTGTTTTTGGTGAAGGTTGGCAGAGAAATGATGGTTTGGTTGGGGTAGTTTGATTAGATTCGGTTGGATTTGGCAGTGGGGAGTATGGTTTCTCTAATTTGGGTGGATAAAATCTGATTTTCCGAGGTTTTTTCGTTTTTTAAATGGGTTGTTGATTTGGTGTTGTGGATAATGATGTTGATATGTTTTGTTGTAGATGACAATGGTGGAGCAGTTGGGGATGACTTGGTTCTCTGGTAGTAGGGTTTCAATTGGCAATGGCAGAGAGAATGACCGACGGCAACAACTTGCAACGGTGGTAACAATTGTTGGAAACCTTAGGGTTTCAAATCCATGGTTTCCTTTGGGTCACTTGAGCTTGTTTTGGACTTCGGGTTTTGGTCGATTGTCCCCTTTATAAATGGGTTTAATTTGGGCTTATAAGGGCCTATACAAATAAACAATAATAATAATATAATAATAATAATAAAGTCTCCGGACGAAAACGAGTGTCATCACATGCATCGTAGAATTTTTCATTCTAATATCTCCTTATCCATAAATTTAAAAATATTATATATTTAAACATAATTAGACTTATATTATTATATATATATATTATAATGACAAGGACGCTAATTGAGGTGAAACTAACTTAACTAAGACCTAAGACAACTTAAAACGACAACAAGGACAATGTTTCTTTTTGTTGAGCCAAGCCACAATGCAAGTATCATGAAAAACATGCAAGCAAGGCATGCACACACCTTCCGACCCCACTGTCAACTCTTCCAAACAGATCGGACAATCCTTTCCCGACCCTTCAACCATCACTTTCACCAGATTCTCCACCGCCGCCGCCTCTTCGTCTTCATTTTCATCATCCGTGTCATCACCGTTCCCAAAGTCAGGCACCTCGTCGACAACCGCCTCAACCTGCACCCGCATTCTCAAAACCTTGCATCCTCCGTCCCTCGCAGCCACCGCCAACCGAACCGCGGAGGCCGCTACTTCTTCAACCTTCGAGGGCTGAACTGGGATGCGCATCGAGTTGAACATGTCCGAAACGGCGCCGTTCCCATCGCTAATCAGGTCTTCCAAAGGGAAATCGTGGATGACGTGAGAAATAATCCTCCCCACCTCCGTGGAAACGCCACCGTTTCTGTCCACTATGACAAACGTTGCCCTTAGCTCGATTTCGAACATGGAAGGGGAAAAAGATCTAGTGTCCGAAACACGAGAGGAACTACAATTGTGGCCTGCCATTATTGAGGGAAAACTGAAACGAAACAATCTAATTTATTAAAAAGGTTGATTTCGTAACAGACAAATACACGAGGACAACACTGAGAAAAGTGGTTTAAACTTATCCAAGAAAAAGAAGAAGCGGCTTACACCTTTCAAGTGAAGGAAGTAAGTCGGCCCTGAAAATCAGCTGTTTTTTTATTAACGCGAAGACAACACCGCTTAAACTTATCCAAGGAAAAAAAGCGGCTTAAACTTATCCAAGGAAAAAAGCGGCTTACAGCAGGAAGTGTGTCGGCCCTGAAAGTAACTGTTCTTTTAATGTTTAAGGTAATGTATTGGGTGTTATTAAATTATATAAAATATTTTTTGTAGTTATTATTATTTTAAATATATTTATATTTATTAAAATATTATAAAATAATCTTAATTTTTAAATGTATTATTATTCATAATTTTTAAAAATATTTTAAATAATTTAATAAATTTGATGAGTATTCTATAATATATAAAAATTTCTGATTTAACATACTAAACTACCTCAGTAGTAAAAGAGTTGTTATTTCTTGAGATTTCGAAGTTCGAGTATTAATAAAATTAGGAATACGGGGTTTATTGTCAAAGTAATTGATAGTTATTTTTTAAATAAATATTATTTTGTACTAGACTAATACAAAATTACTAATTAATGATCTTTTATTGTATTTCATTTTTATTTACTTTTCTTATTTACTTTTTTATTTTTTTTCAAATATTTTAACTTTAGCTACTGATTATTTTAAAAATATTTAAAGATATATTTACAAAATTTAATTGAATAGTTTTTAGGTATAAATTTTATAAAATTTAAATATTTGCAATACGTGAAATAATTATGAGTAAATTTCAAAACAATTAATTAAAAATAAGTTTAATAGTACGGGAGGGATATTTTTTTTATCTTCTTTACGCGCTTTCCTTGTTTATTGTTGTCGCCTTGTCGGCCATTTCACGAACGAATTAAAATATCTGAGCTCAATCGGTTTAACCCATTTGGAAAATTAAACCGAACCAGGTGACCTTAGCTCAGATTTCTGGACGCTGTCAAATGTCAACATTGGCGGATGTACATTGACTGTAGGTTGAGTATCTGTCATCTTAAAATTTCCTTAAATTTGATTTTTTTAATTAAAATTTAAAGTTTTCTTTATTAATATATATTTTCCTACGGCTTCCTTGCTTATGTAGGGCTTTGGAAATTTTTTTCTTCATATAGAGCTCTAATCAAATTATTTCTTGAAATGTTGTGTTTGCTACAGTGATCTCATTGATTGTCAAGTGCTCCATAGGTCGTCAAGTGCTCCTTGCAACAAAGTCTCCTATGTTGTAGCAACAAAAACCTCCTATGTTGCAGCAACTCTTTTCTCTTCCCTCGCTGTTGCAGCTCCATAGGTCGCCGTGTGTTCCTGGAGACCTATGGAGATCGTCGTGTGCTCTTGGAGACTTATGGTGGTCACTGTAGTAATCACTCTACTTAAACAAATAATTGTTAGATTGCACTATGTGAAGAATTTTTTTTCCATTGCATTATTCAACCACTTTTTCCATTTCCCTACTTTGAAAATATGTCTACCCGCCCTGAAATTTTATTGTGTCCACCCATAAATTTGATCATGTCAACAAATTTAAATTATTAATATATGTGTGTTAACTCTAAATATTTTCCTAGATCTGCCACTTAGTGTCAAGGTATCCATACAATTTTTCAAAGTGATAATTATTAATTATTATTTAATAATAATAAATTCTATTTCAAATATCACTCTTTTTAAACACCGACTCGTTTATACAAATGACATTTTAATTTTATCAATTTTAACATCGATGTTTATATTTAATTGCAATTATGTCACTCCGTCGTTAATCCATTAACATGGTGATAACATGACATCTATGTGTCGTGACAGTGATAAAGTGGCTCCCTCACCAAAACGATGTCGTTTTGGCGCAACTGTCTGTATGCTAAAAAACCCAAAACAACATCGTTTTTGAAACACCCTATACTTGTACTACACACAGTTGAGCGATTTAAGGTGCTACACGGAACTGCCGAAGTGGCTAACCAACTTTAAACTTAATTTCTCATACTTTAAAATGACCATAAAATAAACTGAAATATAATAAAAATCTTTTCACTGAGGAACTCCAAAATGAAATATTTACACTTCAAAAATATTACAGACCAACTTGACTGAATCTACAACTCAATTGGACAATAATGTTTACAAATATACATGCCCAATAAAAATGTTGAGACGTACATTTGATCTATACTAGACTGGTCTGGACCTTGGTCTATCTACTGCTTCTAACTGCTTGATCTATTAACCTGCCTACAGAAACATCCGAAAACTGACCTAACTAGCTCACTAACGACTAAAACATACTAATTGTATCACTGAAAAGCTTAAGCTATAAAGTCTATGGCTATAAGGTCTACTGTAATATGTTCTATTATCTGTTCTGTTCTACTAGCCTACTCCTTGAGTGTTGGACCTTGTGCCCTAGCTAGTGTGCTTTAAAACTACTTTAGTGAGAATACTCACTCTCTAAGCTATGGTAGACATCATGGTGTGGGTGAGGGTTATGCATCTCGGAGCTCATGCACCCTCTATTCTACCCTGGATATGGCCCTCAAAATTCTCTACATCAAAAACCATACCCCTGACTAACCCGCCCTTTTTTTCTAAAGAGTGTAAAGGCCTCAGTAAACATAGTTAGTCAGAAGGGACTCGACCCTACCTAAGGATATATGAACTGGATCTATACTATCAACTCTGCTAGCTTTTCTAAAGGAACTTGGGTGTCTTGGTCGTTTTCCCGAGCATTCAAACAAGAATAGTTTTATTTCTTCTAACTTTAACTTGTTTCTACGTTTGAAACTAACATTAACGTTTTCATTTGTAGTCTTATCTGAAAAATTACTAAAGTGTTGGGATACCTCGAGTCTAAAACGATCAAAAACTGCCTTTAATGCTCAAAACAGACTGAAAGAATCGATATTATCCCTGGAGTATCGATACTACTGCTAAAGTTTTGATACTTTATATAAGTATCGATACTTGTAAACATTATGTTCTGCCCAATTTCGAAATTTCGAAACTTTATGAGAGTTTCAAAACTATGACCCAAAGTTTCGATACTCTTGAAAGAGTATCAATACTCTTGCCCATAAACTCACGAATCTGCCCAAAACGAAGAACAAGTATCAGTACAATAGGGATAATATCGATCCTCTATATGCATAAGTCATAAAACAAGTACTAAAAGCTCTATTTTTTCAATCCCAAAGACCTTAGTGAGGTCCCCAAACATTCTTAAAGTTTTATGTGAATAAAAGGAGCATAAATAAAGCTTTATACCATGCTTATAACATTAAATGAACAATCTACCATGGGAATTTCTAAACATGCTTTAAACTTAACTTTCCATGATCTACACTTGGTATGAAAAAGCTATAAGTGTGTTACCTTACTTCCTTGCTGCTAAAACACCTCTTGAATCAACTAGGATTCACCCTACCTTCAAGAAAACCCCATTTTGAAAACTAATTCTAAAACTTACAAAATGGAGCTTAAAACAAAGCTTGAATGATGGAGAGAAACATTCTTACCTTGGCTACAACAAACTAAGCTTGAATCCTTAAAATTTTGCGCTTAAGAAAGGAAGAAGAAAAGAAAAAAATGATGAAGAAAAATATATATGAGTGTTTAGTGATAAAATGGTGGGGTAGTTCATGTAAATATGATATAAAAAGGGAAGGGTTTTCAACTTTAAAACAATAAGGGAAAATTACACTATTAGTCCCTCTACTTTATCTCACATAAAAAACTAATCACCTATCACCCAAATTTTTTGGGCCAAACACAAGCCCACTAACTCGGGTTGACTTGAACTACTAACTCGGGATTCGGGTGTTACAATTTTATTAGAGTCATTTGATGAAAAATTATTTTCCAAAAGATTCAAACCAAAGTTAATCATGAACCAATGCTAACCACCTAACCACCAAGCTAACTTAATAACTTACTATATTCTTAACAAAACTAATATATATGTTAAATATTAGTTGTATTGTAATACCCTTATTTGGTCTAACCCGAAGACTATACGGTTAAAGAGTTACACATACCACCAAAATGGCTAACCCAAAAAATTTATTTTAAAACATTTGTAAAACCTTAATAAATCATTCACCATAGTATGAAATAGACGTCATAAATAGAAGTTTACAAAATACGAAAAGCTCCTAATACATACAAATACAAACACTGAATTTTAAATCAAAACAGAGTTATGACTTGAATTGATACAAGGTCTATATAAATACATGACATCTAAAAGACTAAAGACATACTCTGACAATAGGCTGATCTAGAATGTATTTGCACGATAGGCTCATCGTCAATCCTCTATTAACTGTGCACGGAAATAAATTCTAAACGGTAATCTCACAAGCTAAGTGCCACGTTAATAACTATGTAATATTACATGTATTCATTACATGAACATGCCAGTGCGTTAAGTCATGGGTATGAAAAACTATAACAACAAACATGAAATAGGTCTAGTGGCGTGGTCGGAGGAATTTTCTACATCTCAGGACAACACATTAGCCTACCTGGGTTACTTGAGGGTCTTGTGGTAAGAACCGAAATTTTATATGTATCGAAAGCTTACATCCCTAGCCTACATGTAGTGTAACGCCCCAAAATCTAGTTAGTAGTTGGGTTAACTTGAGAGAAAACTTTGGTTCATGATTTAGTTTGATTTCATGTAAAGTAATTTTTCATCAAATGACTAATAAAATGACGTCGTTTTGGTGAGGAAGCCATGTCATCACCGTCATAGCATAAAGATGTTATATCATCGTCTCGTTAGTGGATTAATGACGGAGTAATAAAATTACAGTTAAACATAAGCGTTAGTGTTAAAATTGATAAAATTGATATGTTAGCGGTATAAACGAGTCAACACTTAAAGGAGAGTGATATTCGAAG